GAAAGGTGTTGTTGACTTTGGTTTTGTTGGTAATTATTTGGTTCACCATTCAATTCGACATCAGCCGAGTCCAACCCTTGTTTAGTTCCCCCACTTGTTCTTTATGTATGGGTTTCGGTTATTTTTGTTCTTTCTTTCGAGTCTGATAATGGGTATCTCTCGATTTTACAAGTTGTTCGGGCTAAATTTTTAGGGTACCTATTAGATGATGAATCGCCAAGGCAAAGAGGGAAATCAGACTTGTTTGTTTTTAAGGATTTTGTCGAAGATTACCTTGATTATGAACCCAAACCAGTTGAGAGACATGCGAAGTCGAAGCCACCGAGTTCAAATGATATTCAAGTTGATAAGTTTTCAGGTTTGCGTATAAGGTAAGGCCGAGTTCAAACACTTCAATTTACATTCCACTAATTCTTAAGTGGCAAGTGGCAAATAGAATATCCGACAACCGCTCACTGAGTTCTGAAGGACTGACCAAATCGAGTTTGGCTTACCTATGTTTATTACTTGTTAGGGCCTTGATAAAGCATTGCTATACATACACCTCATCAAGTAGATGACAATAAATTTTTGGGCTTTTTGCAGGAATTTGTTGAAGGGAGACACCCTTTACGGTTGTTGGGCAACCATAGGAGTGTTGACTGAAAAGGAAACTCCAAAGACTAGTTCAATCGGGCAGAGCTATTCCATATGGAAAATTGGGTGCTTAGATGAAAATATTGTTTCTCTTTTCTTGTTTGGTGATACTTATGAGCAGAATTGTAAGGAGCTTAATCAATTCTCCCCTTCGAAAATCCAAAACAAATAATGGAAGTTGGATGGTCTTCTCGGTGCAGACGGTGCATAATCATCGATGGAATGACATAAAATTATTATCTCGTCCAGGACATTAAAACTCATTGGACTGGCACTGATGGTAGGATTGGAGTCTGATGAGGTTAAAATATAATATAATATTTTATTATTAATATTATGCTTAAGTCAAAAAGTTAATAATTTAAAATAGAATGATATGAAAATTAAATATTAAAAGATGGGGAGTGAGTTAATGCAGTGCATGAGATGGAGGGAACACATGTAGAGGTGATGTCGAGAAATATCCGCCCTGGCAACTACGTAGTCACACCATATCAACATGGCCAATCAACATGGAGATGGAAGAGCCACTGACACAGACCTCTCCAGCTTTGTCTTTCTTTTAATAGATAAAAATAAAATTATGAGTAAACTAGATATCTAATCATTTAATTATTATTATGATTTCGTTTGGATCAATTAACTATTTTTTTTATAGATCATGCTAAAATTATATATTAATTTATTTTTATCAACCTTAGTTTTTTTTTATAGAAAGCGTTAGTTTTATTAAAAATAAAAAATATCCAGAATTATAATAAAAATTTAGGAGCATAATTGTAAACGTAAACTAAATTATAATTATGACATTTTCTTATAATCATTGACGCAAAAACTAAGCACCTAAATCACATCAGGACCATAAAATAGAAAGGTTAAAAAACTAACCAATACTCTAACAAAATAAAGATACGAACAAACCTGACTGTATTGGCAAACGAACCACAAAAGAGGATGAAACTACTAAAACGCCATCGATAAATCGTAAATCAGAGTCAAGCGACCGTGAGAAAACTATCAACGAGCGCAAAACACGTATCCAAATCAATCCGATGGTCCAAAGTAGGGAAGATCAGCATGATAACAAATAAGCGCCACATTGGTCAATCGAAGCGATGTCAAATCCAACCCTGAGAAAAAATATAAACAAAAAAATGGTCAAATGACCGAAAACTACCAAAAGGCAGATAAAAACGTGCCACAAAGGTAAATATAAACGTGTAATAAAAACAGAGATAAACATATCACAAAGACATAATTATTCTTATTAAAAACTAAAAAATTAAAGAAAAAATACAACCGGTAGTAAGCAACCAGTATCAAAACCAATGTTGTCGCGGGCTAAACAAAATCAAAGAAGAATAAGTTCATTTGATATATAAAATTTAACCCAAGTTGTAAAGAAAAAAAGAGAAAAGAGAGAGAGAGAGAGCGGTTAGTTTTATCCCTCTTAATAAAAATAAAACATAATTGTTGATATAATAATTTTAAAAATATATATATATATATTATTTTATGACGATATGTTAACATCATTATTATTTTGGGTTACCTACATGATTGATCACTTATGCTTATATTTTGTCCATTTTTTCTCACTGATTTTAAAAAACATAATATATGATCACTTTTATTTTTATTCAATTAAGAATAGTCACTTTCATTTTTTATTTAATTAAAATGTGATCACCACAGGTTAACTGTCGTTAACAATTAACAAATTAGGTGATGTATATTTGGTATAATCACATATTTGATCCTTATTATTTAAATATTCTCTCAATTTAGTCATACTTTTAATAAATTAAAATAAATTTAATTATCCAATCGAATGATGCCATATGCCACAAGTGTCACGTGTCATGTCACATGTCAGTAGTACCACATTATGTTAAAAATATTTTAAAATTAAGATAAGAATAAAATATATTAAATTAAAATAAATTTAGTCTTCCAATCGAAAGGTGACAAGTGGTACAATGTGTGGTACTAGTGACACGTTATACCATTCAATTAAAGAATTAAATTTATTTTAATTTATTAAAAATGGATTAAATTATTAGAATATGTAAACAACATGAACCAGATGTGTGATTATATCAAAATATTTAACGACAGTTAACTCGTGATAATCAAGTCTTAATTAAATAAAAACAAAAGTGACTATATATTATGTTTTTTTGAAATCAATGAGGAAAAGTGAACAAAACACAAATATAAGTAATCAATCACATAGTTAACCCTATTATTTTTTAACGACAACATAAATTATTTAAATCAATACATGCATCTAATTATATTTCTGATAATTCTAAAGAATATTTGTAAATCTTTATACATTGTATAATAAATTAATATATAAACAAATAAATTTGTTTTTAAAATTTGAAAACATTATGATGTATAAAGGTTAATATATATAAAGGTAGGTTAAGAATATTTTAATTTTTTAGTTATAGTTTAATTCGGTTCAAAATCGATTAATTAATCGAATTAATCAAATTTTTAAATATATTATATATTATTTGCATATTAAAAGTATTTAAACTTCGATTTTAATTGAATTAACCTACCGAATTAACTGAAAATATAACATATTAAATGTATAATATATATTAATTATATAGTTTGATTCGACCACTGACGGATTGAACACCTAATATCAATAGTTACTTTTTCCGGAGATTAATTTTCAAAATAGATTACACCAAAAGTGAAAATCAAATAATGTCATTATTCGTTAGTTATTTGCTTGTACGACAACAGTGAAGAAAATGAAAATGAACAACAAATGACATTCACCCTCGTACCACTTCACATGTTATCAAGTTTATATTAGTTTTGAGTGGATTTAAGGGTTAGTATTAGATAATTTTTTTAATTAACTACTTGTATGTATATAATCTATTAATTAACTAATCTATATTAGATTTTATAGAAGTTTATTACGAAGACAATCCATCCAACCCAGTTTAATTCTTTCGCAATCACTAAAATTCGAACCTTTTATATTGCTCAATATCTTATTCCACTAGACCAATTGATTGATGATTCACTATTGAATAATTTTTAATATAAATGATTAAATTGATGACTCATATTTATTATTTAAATTTAAATTAAATATTTTTAAATAAATCGAGTAAAGTAAAATTTAAATCAAATAAATTTATTCAAATTTGATTAAAAGAATATGTTAAATTTAAATATAATCAATAATATGATTAATTTTCAAGTTAAAATAAATATTTTTTTTATTTATATAATTCCTTGCATTTAATATTTTGGATTTTTTTTATTTTTTTATTTAACTTTTTATTTTATTTTTTAGTTTTTACGAACTTTTAGGAATCGTGTACAATCCTTTTTTTTTATTTTAAAGATTCTCTTATAATTTTTTTTCTAGAGGGAACAATTTATATATTTTTAAACTATCAAGGATTTAAACTGATATTTGTAAAAACCATCCCGACTTAAATAAAAAAAGAATCAGAAAACTTGAATTGAAAAAAATAAATTAAATAATTAAATTCAATTAATTTAACTTTATTTTTTAAATTGAATCAAATTTTACTTAACTAACAAGTATAATTAACTAAGATGAGGAATTTGCTTTGTATTAGGTGATGATAAACTCGCTTACTACTTTTCAATTTTTTCGTGTTTCAATCGGTTACGGGTACAATGAGTATGGAACCCAACCACCAAAAGACCCAATAAATTTAATCGGGGAATATTCAAAATGATTTGTTATGATTTTTTAAGGTTTTAAATTCGAATACTAAAAACATTTTTAATAGCATAAACGTTTAATATTAAATGGTTGAAAATTATTTCTGAACGGATACTATATTCAACTTACCTCATATTACTAATAAAAAAATATGTTCAAAGTGAATAAATCACCACCGTTTGATCTATTGAAGTATCCGTTTTCCTCGTTGCAAGAACGGCCCAAACTGAAACTATGACTTCATCAGAAAATTGACCCTCAACCAAAGATTGGTCCTTAACCTAAACTTTCAATATCCTTTCAGTATTACCCAAAAACCAAAATCAACTACACATGTTGAATTCTTATTGGATACCGTACATTTTTGCATGAAAATGGGTTTAAGTCCCATTTTGAGCTGAAAAAAGAAAATTAACAACCAATCTAAGAATAGAGGTATAGTTTAGGGATCGATTTTTTTATGAAGCTTAAAAAAATTCTAACAATGATTTTTCTCGGGCAGTGAGGGTGTGACATGAGTGTTTGAGTCATTGATATTGCGATGTTTGAAATCTTTAAAGGGTGAAATTCTACCATGTAAGGTGCAGAATAAAATGGTTCACGTCTTTAATGTCTAAGAACATGACATGAGCCGAGAAACAACAAAACCACCACCACCATCTCACAACATTCATATGTCTGAGCCTCGTTTCTTTTATTCCATTGCACCGAAAAATATAACAAACTAGTCGACATCTTCGAGTTATCCAAGTTGCTCACTAATGTTCAACTACAAAGCTTTGGTCTCAAGCGACAAGATTCCCCGTGTATTCATACGTACAAGGCAAATAATATCGGCAATAATCAGAATGAACAAAGAATATAATTTAGTCTGCTACAGTAGGCCCCTCCACCCTTTTCTCTTTAATACCAGCCGTCTTGCAGTGTAGCTTGGATGGTAAAACGAAAACATTAGATGAAGCAATGGAGGGTTGAAATCGAGCCGAATATTTCACAGATGTCAAAGAAATTCTAGGCAATTGTTGCAAACCAGAGACAAGAGGCACAACTTTATAACAAAGGAAGTGCTCCGATCTTGGAAGAACAAACACCGTATCGCTGTGAGACCCAGATAGCATGAAACTATGTGAATCTGCCGATGAAAACTTTACCTCTTGAAGTAACTCGGTTTGGTTACGGATTTTAACATGGTATATGAAGGGATCTCCAAGGATGGCATAAGGAGGACATTCTAAAGTCACAATAATCGGTGGCAACTCCACATGTACATCGGGAAGTTTGTATTCAGTTACAACCTCGGAATCAATCGCAGCCAAACTAGATTTATCTTCAATTCCACAATGCCTCCTCCATTTTAGATGCACCACCCCCAGTCTAAGTTTTGAGGAATCCAGATTAGGAATAACACTGAAAACTTTCTTAAATTCTTCTCCTGGCACAAGAACCGCAGTGCCAAGATCTTCGTTCCCGTGTTGGATGGAACATGACCTTTCAGTTCCACCATCATCAGCCTTAATAGCCATCGATAGCAGCTGCAATGTGACCTCACAGCAGTTCTTGACACTAACAACAAGTACAGTTGATTCATGCAGGGCTAGTGATGAAAACTGATTGGAATCAGGGGCCAGCTTGATCTTTGAAAGCAACAAGGAATCCCTGCGGAAAGGCAGCATAAAATGTTGGCAAACTGAAACAGCATCCTTTCCTTCGATTTGCAAGGTCTTGTGGACATCGACTTTTTGTGAATTCGACTCATAAGAAATCGGGGAGTAGCTCAGTGATACAAAGAGCATAATTGGTTTGGGTCGGTGCCACATGATTTCTAGTTTGCAGGACCATGATTCTCCAATCTTTAGAGACGGAACAGAAACCAATCCAAAAGATTGTTGAATTTTCATGATTTTATCAGAGAACTTTTGAGATTCATCTTCCAGTTCTGGTCCAACAATGCCAAGAAGCTCAACATGATGAGTTTCCAATGAAAGAGGCTCGGATTCCCTAGGACTGAACAGGCCACCTCCTTTCACATCGACAAGATTTATCTTCATTTCACCAGCATGGATGGCATGGCCCCTTGAGGTTATGGTAACTGGTATCAGAAATCTCTCTCCAACTAATGCCGGCCCAGAAGCACCAAGAGTGACATCCACTTGTGGGTCAGGTTCTTCAACATGAGCAGCCTTCTGACCAGAGAATGATAGAGCAGGATCTTTTGTGGGGAATGTTTCCACACAATTTTCAAACTTCCAAAGAGGTAAATCATCCATTGAAGCAGGACTTTCAGCTCTGCAGCAGATTGTGAAGTGAGGTCCCATTTTTGCAATAATAGATATGCATTCAAGCTTTCCACTTTGTTCTGCAAATTTTGAAAGTTTATTAATGAATAGTACGTGGACAATGAAGGAAACCATGATGCTAATCATAATAAAGAATTTACAGTAGAAGAGAATGCATGCGGAAAGAAGACATCAGATTCCATATGGTTCTGGATAAAAGTAAGGACAATCAGGACCTTGTATTGAATATGACTTTAGCCTTTTAATCTCTAGGGAAAATTCAAGAATAAGCTATCCTTCTGATTAAACTCTGAAGAAAGCAAAACTAAAAGCCCAGACAAGAAAGGAGTGATGAAAAAGTTATATTGCCAATCTAATGTAAACCTTATTTGCTATCTAGGGCGCTGCACTAGTGATTTCTCATGGTTTTTGGTTGATTAAATCCTAGGCTCACCCGTTGAAAGCTAAAAGGCCCCTTACAATTATTTGCACGAGAATTATTCTTCTCCTATTTGCAAACTTAGGTTAGGTCGAAACGTATAGCTGCAAGGCTGTAACAAATTCATTGCGAAGTAGTCAGGTTAATATCAAACAACAGCATGAAAAAACACTACCAGAATTGCACGAGAATTATTCTTCTCCTATTTGCAAACTTAAGGAGTGCCAAGTTGAAATGACTATGTTATCAATGTGGGTCAGCTCCTAGTTTTTAATTAGATGAACCTAATGTATAGTGAAAAAAACAAATGCGTATATATATATATACACACACACACACACACTACAGACTTACCAGATTTAATGTCATAAGTCAGCCGCAGCCATTTGTTTGTAACAAGTGCTAAAGAAGGGGCACTCTCCATTCGATGATCATGTTGCTCACCCTGCACTGCTTCAAGTGGATGTATTTGGGCGTTTGTGATGATAAAATTACATTGAGATTGATTGAATTGGACTTCCAACTGATCAATCTCGATGGAAAGGGGTAACTGTGATAGTAGTGATATTGTAATCAAAGAGGAGACACCGGACTTAATTATCTGTTCATGAAAAGCCACAGAAGCAAGAAGTACTGATCTGAGTGGACTAACAAGATCAATTTCAAGATGAAGGGTATTATCTCCAGTTACTTTGAAATCACCAAGTCCATTGAAAGATTCTGGTCTAGCTTCTCTACTTATGAGTGCAAAAATTTCTCTGTATATCAATTCTCTCTGTTCAAGACTTGCAGGTCCTACTGGGCTGCATTTGGAGGACTGGATGCTATCAACAATAGATACTGGCAATGCAGCCATTTGAAGAGAGAACTCTACAAACTCTTTTATTGCACCCTGTTTCCTTGAGCACTCTCTCAAGTAACCCAAAACCTCCCACAACAAAGTAACCCATCCTTCTTGCCTATATAGATTTGCAACACCATCAAAAAACTGTTTTGCATTGCTGTAATCACCCAAAGAAAAGTATTCTCTAGCAATCTGAAAGGCACAAAGTGAACCCATCCTCTGAGCTTTACGATTACTATACAATTCATTACACTTTCTGAGCAAAGCAATAATTTCAAAGGAGTCTTGAAACCTTTTTCCCTCGGCAATCACGTACCGGGTGAATTCATCATCAGTAATGCTGCACAGTCAGACGAGAATAAAAATTCAAACACTTATTTAAGGTAAATGGTACATATCAAATAAGACTTTTGATTAAATTTTCCAAGACTTACGACTGCATAGCCGAATCATCCCCTTGCTCAAGTAGCCGAGAAAACTGACCAATATAAAGTGATGGTACCACATATTCAGCACATCCATCATCATTCTCATTAAAAGTTTCTGCATTTGACACTGCCAACTCCAAAGCAGATTTCTTCTCCTTCAAGTATTGAGCTGCTGACTGTTGCAAGATGAATGTTATGATTCAGCTAAGTTAAATAATCTAATAGAACTCTGAATGCATGCTCAATCTCACCAAAGCAAGCAAGAAGAAAATAAAAACGAACATGGAAAATAGTACTAACAAGGTACGCATATTAGCTTATACCTATCCTTAGCCCCAAGAATCAATGTATGGGTACCTGTTGAACTCATTGTTTCTAAGGGTTTGATATAAAACAAATTAGCATGACTTGCAAGGGAAAGCCCTAAAACAAAATGGCTAATGAGAATCAAGAGAAAAAATAAAAGAATAAATGTGGACAATATGATGGTAAAGACCTGATAGTAATAAGCTGGATGGAATTCCCATTCTGTTAGAAGTTGGTCAGCAGTGTCTAATGGCTGAGAGGAAGCGCTTGGAAGAGTTGCAGAGCTCGAGTCAAGCAACTCAGCGAAAACCAAAAACTGTCTGCTGAGCCATTCCCAGTGAAGAAAAATGACTTCTGGAGCTCCAACAAGGGACTTGTAGGAGCCAACGTGCTGGCTGAACCATGTGACTGCTTCGTTGAGTTTTCCACCATGCAAAAACAGAGCGCAAATCTTGAAATGCAACTGTTCAGCAACAGCTTTGATCTCAAATAGGCGTTGTATGGGAGGCAACCTTGTTGAGGTACCAACCATCTACATAGCATGTCATGGCATAGCCATAGATGGTCAAAGACTAAAGCTTAAGATTGTAAAGGGAAAAAGGATAATTAGGGAAAAACCTCGCGCAGAGCATGATAGGCATCCTCGTAGAACCTCAAGGCTTCAGCCCAGTCTCGTCGGAACTCTGCATATACAGCAACCTACCCATTTTGTGAAACAATGAGCCAATACACATGGAATTAACAATAACGAAAACAATAAAAACAACCAAAGCTATTCTTTAATTACTATTATTACTTTGAAACAGTATCGAACTTGGAGGTCGCGAGTGGAGAAGTTCTTATTTTCAATGCGAGCTTTAATCCTTCTACCTTCCTCTTTGTAAAAAGTAGCTCCTAGTTCGGCAAAGCTGGCGCTCAACCTAACAGACATTACAACGTATGGGATATATGTTTGTATATTGTACAATTTACATAGAAATTAATTCAGTAAAAGGAGATAAAAAGAAGCACCTTTGAAGGGAGTTATCGAGTTGAGAAGGATCAGGGTTATAGAGGAGAAGGTACTTGGAATCAACCTCTGCTCGCTTCCGTAAAGCAATGAGACGATCTTCACTAATGCCCTCCGATTTGCCCACTACCACGAGCAGCAACAATTTGGTGTTCCTCGGACGAATAGCGGCTTTCAGGTCATCCAGATCGGAACAGACTTGGACCCATTGTGCAGGGTCACCGGAAACGTGATCCCAAGAGAAGAGGGCTGCCACCACGGCGGGGATCTTGGTACGGTGCTTGACCAGCCAATCCTTTTTCAAGAATCCGACCGGTGAAGAAGAAGAGGAGGATTGTTGGAGGAGATGGGTGAGCTTGGAGAAGTCCGGCAAGGCGAGGGTGTTGATAGGAGGCTGCTGGGAGAGGAGGTGGGTCGTTATCGCACCGTGCTGTTCTGAGCATCCTACCAATGACACCAGCGCCACTGGAGGACTCCTTAATTCTTCTGGGTACTCTTCCATTTACTTCAGGAATCGAACCCTTCGCTCTGCACTTTGGATTGCTTGATATTTTCTTCGTCGTATTTGTAAATTGTAAATTTCAGAATTTCTGTCTTGTCTTGGGGTAAACTACGTGAATGGTTAATACACTTTTAGCATGCTTGCATTTTGGTCACCAATCATTATTTATTTTAATTACAATCAATGTCATCAACTGTTGTCATGAAAACCTAACATGACGAATTAAAAAAAAATATTCTCAAAATTCTCTTAAATTTTTTCAGACTTAAAATTACGGACCACCGCTTCTTCTACCATCATTTTTGTAATTATTCGGTTATTTCTTTAATTAAAAGTAACACTAAATTACTTTTCTTTAGATTTTTCAATTTAAAATTATCGAAAAACATTTTAATCTTTTTAAATTTTAATAAAAATTAAAAGTTAAAACTTATCGATCAGTCACTATTATCCATCAAATCGACATAAAATTAAATCTTGTGATAAAATATAACGTTCCCACCATTAAAATTTACCCATTTTTTCGTTTATTAAAATCTCATTAAATTTTTCATGGATAATTGTTACTTTATCTTTTTTTTTACTTATTTGCAAATTTTGTTGTTGTTTATTGTTTATTGTGAATGGTAGTTTGTGGTTGCAGATGTTGATTGAATGAGATTGATGATCGTGGCTCAAATTTTGGTTGATATGATCTTAATGATGGTTGTGACATTTTAAGATTTGGATGAAATGATAAATAGTTCGACGGTCGTAAAAAGACCAAAAAAACTCTTGAATAGTGTTATGTTTAGCTGTGACAACATTGACATATAAGTTTTTCTTAAAGAACAATTGACGGTAGTGATTGTAGTGAAAATAAATTAAAAATTTAGTGACCGTATTACAATTTTTAAAACTTTCATGACCAAAATGTATATTCCCTAAAAGTTATAGACCATTTATGGAACGTACCTCTTCTCTTACTAGCAGAATAGAAGAAGACAAGGATGAATCGATTTCTAGTATAGTACTAAGGTAGGCCGAATTTCATTATTATTATTATTATTATTATTATTATTTTTTTTGGATAAGTAAGCATTTTATAACAAAAAAAAGAGTTCATACAAAATCCCAAAAATGGTCAAAGACCACTATACAACAAATGGTTAACCTATATTTCAATTGTTACAAAGAAGCATATTTACATTGTCAAGCCTATTAATATCTCTGTTCCTGAGTTGAGCACCAACAATATCTTTAATAGAACCAAGCAAGTTTTCTATAGCTCGAGTTTTCCCTTGAAATATGCGTCTGTTTCTCTCCTCCCAAACCATGTAAATAAAAGCATTCAATGCAATCTTCATAATGGAAGTTAAGAGAGATTTACCTTTCCAAGTTGAGTAAGCCCAAGCAAACTTATTTCCCATGATATATGAGGTTTGGACATAAGAGTAAGATTCAAGATACCATTCCAAAGAGAATTAACCATAATGCAGTCAGCAAATAAATGGTTTATAGTTTCAAGAGCATCATTGCAAAGAATACATTGACCATTGGTGATGAGTCCCATTCATAAGAGTCTCTCCCTAGTTGGGAGTCGATCAAGGATAGCTAACCAATAAATAACACTGAATTTGGGAATGTGAAGGGGAAACCAAATTAGCTTTTGCCATGGGACTTTATCATGCTTGATTCGAACTTCTTCCCAAATCCCTTTACAATTCGTAATTCCAGCACTAAGAATGGGTAAGGCCTCGGTTTTCAGTTTCAAAAGTTTTTTGAAGATGAAACTAGAAGAAGCACTCGTAGACATTTGGCAAAAAATCATTAGATTTAATTACTTAAGTATGGGTCCAAGCGATCCATAAGGAACCTTGACCAGCTAGAAGGTTTCGAATAAGCAGAATCATGCATACCTTGTTCCAAGATTTTAAGTCCTTTAAACCTAGCCCTCCTTCAAACTTTGGTTTGCATAAATTACCCCAACTTACCCTTGCTCTAGAGGCTGAAGTGTCAGAGCCTCTCCATAAGTATCTCGAGCATAGTTGGTTAATTCTATTAATAACAGTTTGAGGAAGCAGGAACTGACAACACCAGAAATTTGCAATGTTATGTAAGACAGTTTTAATGAGTTCTAACCTTCCAACATAGCTTAAGTGCCTCCCAAACCATTGGTGTATTCTGGATCTGATCTTATCAATCAGGGGGGAGCAACCTTTAGCAGTGAGTTTTCGAGAAACAAGAGGAACCCCGAGATATCTCACTGGTAAAAGACCGATTTTGAAACCAGTAGAGATCTTAATGATTTCAAGATTCCTTTGAGATATACCTGCTGCAAAAATTTCATATTTAGCCACATTTAGTTGAAGCCCAGATATTTCATAAAATTTATGAATAACATAAATAACTCCAGCAATAGACTCCATATTTCCCTTGCAAAAGATTGAAAGGTCGTCAGCAAAAGTAAGATGAGTGAGCCCTATTTTTTTGCATTTAGAATGATAACTGAATAATCCTCTGGCAGCAGCAAGATTAAGAAGCTTGGAAAGGATGTTCATAGCTAGAACAAAGAGAATGGGTGATAAAGGATCACCCTGTCTAAGGCCTCTTTCACCTTTGAAATAGCCAATCAATGAACCATTGAATGAGATTGAATATTTTGCTCCAGTGTAACAAGTTTCAATCCAAGATATGAAAAGAGGAGGCAATTCAATAGGTTTGAGAATGAAAGAAAGGAATCCCCAGTAAAGAGAATCAAAAGCCTTTTGAAGATCAATCTTGATAGCACACCTTGGAAAAATTGATTTTCTTCCATAGCCTTTGACAAGATCTTGAGCTAGTAGAGTATTGTCAATAATATTTCTTCCCTTAACAAAGGTTGTTTGGTTAAGAGTAATTATGTCAGGAAGAATGTTTTTCAACTTTTGAATAAGAATCTCAGTAATTGTCTTGCTGGTAAAATGAAAGAATTCTGAAAGAATTATTTTACAACTTTAATCACATCTTCTCCATCTTTGATATCTAGCCTTAATTAATTGTATTTTTGACTCGATTCGAAAAATTGATTTTTTACTCGATTTAATTTGAAAAAATCTCGACTCGAATTGACTTGGAGTTATAATTTTATAAACTCGACCGACTCGTAAAAAAATTAACTTTAAATCGAGTTGAAAAATACAACTCAAATAACTCGTAATTTTTAATAATTAATAGATTGATTTTCAAGTTTGAGTCGAGCAACTCGACTTTGTATAGTATATATAAATTACAATTGAAAAAATACAAAAATATATATATGTACTGTATATAATTATAAAATACCATTTAAATTAAAATCAAATAATGTTATAATATTATAAATATTTATAATTATATTTAAATAAAAATTCAACTCGAAATGACTAAAATTTTATAAACTCGACCTGGTTTGAAATTTTTTTAAAACAATTCTAGGCTATAAAATAATATTTATCAACTCGAAAAATTAAAAAAAAATTATTCGACTGTCAAACGCTGAAATGAGTTATGAGTGCAAATGATGATTCTAGTGTCTACCAAAGAAATTCTAGACTGGTTGTGTTGTGAGGTGTAGGCATAATCAGACCAACATCAATTTTGTGTTGAACTTAAACTACTCCATCCCACAAATTAATTTATTGTCAAAGAACAAAATTATGTCCACCGATGATAACATTACTAATATCAATATCAGTCCAATTTCCAGAGATGCAGATGCCTCCACATCCACCGACAAACCTTCTCCGTCCTCACTCCCGGCGGTTGTTCCGGTCCCCCTGACTTGGCCCCCCGATGGCCAGCTCAGCCTTGAGTGGATCCACCACGTGATATCGGCTTTCGACTGGAGTTCAAAAAACCTGCCCCCCTCGTCCTTCCCCTCCGTGTTGCCGGTTCCCGTTTTCGACGCCCTCGTTCTTACAGCTTCTAAGATCCTCCACAAAGAACCCAATTGCGTCCGAATCGTGACCCCCGACTCTGATTCAACGGTTGTGGTGATCGGCGATCTTCATGGCCAATTGCATGATCTTCTCTTCCTCTTCCAAGATGCCGGCTTTCCTTCCGAAAATCGGATCTTTGTCTTCAATGGGGATTATGTTGACAGAGGAGCTTGGGGTCTTGAGACTTTCTTGCTCTTGCTAGCCTTGAAGGTAATTCCAATTTGCAGATATCTTTTTACAAAGAATTCACTTTTGTAACACTTGTTTTAGTATTTGTAATTACCATCTTTCATAAGCCGTTTGTGAATGATTTTGACCCTTCAGCTAGAACATAGCTTTTAGATTATGGGATTTCACAATAATTTGTACATTAGCAGGCTAGCAGCTGTGATTAGCATACTAGTTTTTTTTTTCCCTCAAGTTGATGTATTAGTGAAGCTTAATTCTATCTACTATTTTGATAATTAAGTAACGTTTGACAATATATGATGTTCTTCTAGGTTTTTATGCCACGTAGAGTGTATCTCCTTCGCGGAAATCATGAATCCAAGTACTGCACCTCTACTTATGGCTTTGAGAATGAAGTTTTGGCTAAGTACGGGGATAAAGGTAAGCATGTGTATCGCAAATGTTTGGGATGCTTTGAAGGACTTCCTCTGGCCTCTATAATTGCTGAGCGTGTTTTTACTGCTCACGGGGGGCTTTTCCGCAGCATTACCGTCACCCGTTCCAAAAGGACGAAAGGGAAGAAGAATCGTAGGATAAATCTCGTCCCTGAAACCAACGCCTTATGTCTTGGTTCTTTGGAGGAGTTATCTAAAGCTCAAAGATCAGTCCTTGATCCTCCTTGGGAAGGACGGAATTTGATTCCTGGTGATGTGCTATGGTCAGATCCATCGATGAAACCTGGTCTTTCCCCTAATGAGGAGAGAGGTATTGGCCTTTTATGGGGCCCCGACTGCACGGAGGAGTTTTTAAAGAAGTTCAAACTAAAGGTATTATCATTAATATGTTTTTCATTTAAAGCTTTGTGATTAAATTTAACAGATGATTTCGTAATTGTGTAATTAAATTATTTTGTCTCCACTATCCATCAACGATAGGAGAGCCATTTAGGCAATCCGATGT